TGCATTCCGACCAGAGCCTTACACAGATCCAGCCACACATCTCTGCACATGTATTCTCCCACTCTTGAAATGAATGCTAACATTGCATTTGCTTTCCTAACAGCCAGCTGAACTTGCATGTTAACCTTAAGTGAATCCTGAACTAGGACTCCTATATCCCATAGTATTCAGATTTCTGAAGCTTTTCCCCGGATAGAAAATAGTCTACATCTCTATTCTTCCTACCAAAATGCATAACGTCACACTTTTCCACATTGTATTCCGTCAGCCATTTCTATGCCCACTCTTCTAGTCCTTCTGCAGCCTCCCACTTCCTCAGTACTACCTGTCCTTCCACATATCTTTGTGTCATCTGCAAACTTTGCAACAATGCCCGCACCTCCTTCATCCATATTGTTAATGTATGACATGAATAGTTCTGGTTCCAACAATGACCCCTGCAGCACTCCACTGATCACCAACTTCCATCGTGAAAAAGACCCCTTTGCCCCCATTCTCTGCCTTGGGTGCCAGTTAGCCAAACCTCCATCCATGCCAGTACCTTGCCTCTAACACCATGGGCTCTTATTTTATTCAGCAGCCTCCTGTGCAGCACCTTTTCAAAGGCCTTCTGGAAATCCAAATTTCATGTCCACTGTACTCCTTTGTCTAACTTGCTTGTTGCCACCTCAAAGAATTCTAACAGAATGATGAGGCATGACCGCCCCTTGACTCATCCTTATTTTACCATGCACTTCCAAGTACTCTGCAATTTCATCCTTCTTAAATATTAGCTGGTGAGGTGAGAAGGATGCTGCAGAAGAATAGGGAAGGAGCTGTAACAAGGAGAGAAGGCTGCAGGGAGGTTACAAGTAGTGAGGAGAGGGGAACTGCAGATAGGGAGAGAGGCAGGTATCAAGGAAGGGAGAGGAAGGCTGCAAGGAACAAATGGAGGCTACGGGATGGGAGGTTTGGGGCTGGAAGAGGTGGAAGGCGTGAAGCAGGAGTGAGGGAGGTTACAAAGTGGAAAGACTAGCTTTGCACCAGTCAAAGGGATACACAACCAACTAGAAGTGAGGAAAACTTGAAGTCACTGAGATAAGAATTATTAAAAATATGTGGAATCTAGGGCTTAATGTTGCAGAAATTCAGGAGCTACTATATGGGTGAAAATGTAGTTGTAACTATTGTAGCGAATAACATCAAGAGATCTGTGTCGTAAAAAATTTAGTTACTGCCCTGCTCCAGTGGACACTGTTTAGATGCGAGTCATAGTTAGCAGTAGCAGCAATGACAAGTTGATTGCCTCAGGAAGGTGATCTGAGCACCAAAGCTGTTTGGAAAGCTGGGACCACTTTTCCCATTAGTCAAGAGTTGCACATATTATAAGACATTGTTTGTTTGTTAACAGGTGCAGAGACTTGATTTAAATGTTGCAAAGTTACCTTCAAAAGGGATTTAAAATAAGGATGCATTACTAAAACCTTTGCAATTGCGAAGGGATAGCATGATCAATTCTCTCATCTTCCCTGTTGTCTTCACACTTGTCTGTCCAACTTGCAAGAACTGTTGGACAATGGCAGGTGCAAGAACCCTAAAATGCAACTCCCTGGATCCCCATACCTTACCGATAAGCACATCCTCCTGTCCCTGATTACAGGCCAAATTTGAATTATCTAGTCTGAGGGGGTATGACTGCCCTCTGGGGCAAAGTGTCCAGGTAACTTTCCTCTTCCCTGACATGGTGCAATGTCTGCAGCTCAAACTCCAGCTCCTCAACTCAGATCCAATGTTCCTTGAGCTGCAAACACTGCCTATTGATGTGTTCAATCTGTACCATATTGGTGTCCAGCAGCTTCCATATAGTGTCATAGAATTATACCATGTTGCAGGAGCAAGACATCACCCAATGTGCCATTACTATCGTACTGAATTAATTAAGTAATTATTCTAGATTCCCTGGTCTTTGCACTTTATTGTAAGTATATTTCATTTTTATAAAACATCGTGAGTATTACTCATACTGAATCAGCTATTTTTAGAGTACAATGGGATCTTGATCAGATGGGCCAATGGGCTGCGGAATGGCAGATGAAGTTTAATTTAGATAAATGTGAGGTGCTGCATTTTAGAAAGGCAAATCAGGACAGGACTTATGCACTTAATGGTAAGGTCCTGGGGAGTGTTGCCGAACAAAGAGCCCATGGAGTACAGGTTCATAGTTCCTTGAAAGTGGAGTCGCAAGTAAATAGGATAGCGAAGAAGGCGATTTGTATGCTTGCCTTTTTTGGTCAGTGCATTGAGTATAGGAGTTGGGAGGTCATGTTGCAACAGGGCATTGGTTAGACCAGTTTTGGAAAACTGCATGCAATTCTGGTCTCCCTGCTATAGGAAGGATGTTGTGATACTTGAAAGGATTCAGAAAAGATTTACAAGGATGTTGCCGGGGTGGAGGGGTTTGAGCTTTAGGGAAAGGCTGAATAGACTTGGGGCTATTTCTCCTGGAGCGCCAGAGGCTGAGAGGTGACTGTATACAGGTTTGTAAAATCATGAGGGACATGGATAGAGTAAATAGACACTCCCCAGGGTGCGCAAGTCCAAAACTAGAGGGCATAGGTTTAAGATGAGAGGGTAAAGATTTAAAAGGGATCTAAGTGGCAAGTTTTTCACGCAGAGCGTGGTGCATGTATGGAATGAGCTGCCAGAGGAAGTGGTGGAGGCTGGTACAATTGCAACATTTAAAGGCATCTGGATGGGTATATGAATACGAAGCGTTTAGAGGAATATGGGCCAAATGATGGAAAATGGGACTAAATTTATAGAGGATATCTGGTCAGCACGTATGAGTTGGACCGAAGGATCTGTTTCCGTGCTGTACATCTCTATGAGTCTGAAGGAAGTAATACAACAGTTAATTGCAGAGATCCTTACTAGACATTCCTAGCATTGAACTGAATGGTGACAGCATCTAGCTGTTCAATATCCAATCACATTCAAGGATTTGCACAGATTCCCAAGTGATAAACTAAAAGTACTAAACTAAAATTAATTTTAAATATTTGCATGGGCAGAAAATTAAAAATTGGCACTTACACATAGGGTAGTGGTAAAAATTCTGAAAAAAATTAAACATTATTTACAAATTAACCGTAAAAAAATCACCAAGCTCCTTAGACAGCACTTTCCAACACACAATCACTTCCAGCTAGAAGGACATGGGAATACCACTGCCTGCAAGTTCCCCTCTAAGTCACTCACCATCCTGACTTGAAAATATATTGCTGTTCCTTCAGTTGTTGGGTCAAAATCCTTGAACTTCCACTCGAAGGGCATTGTGGATGGATCTTGCCATGATGATGTATCCTAACCCCTGAACACCTACAGACATATTGAACATTTAATTAAGATTTTTTTTTAAAAAGAGGAAATACAGCCATAAATGACAGATACGTAAATTTTGAACAATATTGTTCAATGAAAGGCTTGTGTGGATTACCCTCAACCTCAAGGGAAACACTAGAATATCATGCATCGCAGGTGTTAGGGAACTTTCAAAGGGAAGGTCTGCAAAATGTAGAAATGTACTGCAAACTGAAGTGTAATCTCCTGTGAGTTATCTCAGACTGCAAACATAATTGAAGCAAAGACAGCACTCTGGGTGAGAAACATGTTTGCGTTTTACCTTTTCAAGAATACACAAGAGCAAGGATTAAAAGCAAGGTTTAATGCTGGTCCATATGTGGTGGTGAGCAAAAGTGTGTGCTAAAGCTAAAAAGAAGTCTTTCTCTTTGCTGGAAGCAAGTGAAACTGCAGTTAATAGGAACAGGACTAAGGCCTTTCAGGTTACCTACAAAGCCAAGCATCTCCAAATTGACTGCTCACCTACCAGCATCAGAGCTTTGGATATTACCCATCATAACACACAACTATTCTTTAGGCATCCATTTTTTTTTTAAACTTTTTATCTTTTGGGCTCACCTCATTTCTAATCTGTGTCCATGTCTGTTATGTTATTATCTACACTCATGCTTAGTACTAATAAGCATATCCTCTTGTTAACTCCAGAAAGCCTATTAAAATTGGCCCTTTTTAAAGCATGCATTAAACTGGATAGGGAAAAGGCATCCACAAGAGGGGGCAGGTGAATAAAGAAAAGGAGCAGGTCATCCCTCCTCACCCAGTAGCTTGGCATCTTATGATAAATTGTCATAACAATCTACAGCAAGTGGACTGCAGCAGTTCAAGAAAGTTGCTCACCATTACCTACTCAAGTCCAACTAGGTATGGGCAAAAAAATGCACATTTGAAAATTGTGTAAGTCAACGATCCACATAGCCTCTGCTGATGTAGGGGCAAAGATTTGATTGATTTTCCTCCTCAGCTCTGTTCTAAATAGACATGCCTTAATCTATGTTCTTTCTAAATGCTCCATGTAGTGAAACTTTCTCTCAGATTCTACCCAGCCAAGACCCCTAAGAATCTTATACATTTGGATAAGTACGTGAACAGGAAAGGTTTGGAGGGACATGGGCCAGGAGCAGACAAGTGGGACAAGTTTAGTTTGGGATCACGTTCAGCATGGACTGCTTGGACCGAAGGGTCTATTTCCGTGCCGTATGACTATAAGATTAATTTTCACTCATCTCCAATGAGTGCAGGCTATGCCTAGTTGCAGTCAGTTTGAGGGATAACGACTTTGAATCAATTTCTAGTCCCTTGGAAAATCCAATTCATGGTGTATTACGATGTGTATTATTAAACTATTTTACCGGTCAGTGTTTACTGAATTCTGGAAATACACAGATCTGTCTATTTCCAGCGTCTTTTTTTTAAAGATTTCCAACATTTTCGTTGTTCCTCGCCATTAAAGACCAGGCAGAGACGATGTCACTGCTTCAAGTGTCAAACTGTATCGAAATATTCCCAACAACAAAAAAAGTCATTAATACTAATTTCAACTAAACCGCGTTTTTGAACACAACGTAGCATCATTACAAGGAGCAATTCCGGTATCTACATAACTCGAAACTTCCGCCGAGGTATTAAGCTTCCGTCGCGCGTTGGGAGGTGGTGTTCAGCTTTGGGTTGGCTGGATTTTGTGGAGTCGGAAAGCTCCGACCACCGTTCGAATTGGTTGATAGAACGTGAGGGAGTTTGGAATCGTCCGGGCTACTTTCAAATCAAGCACAGAGTGAACGGTAACTGCTGTTAGAATTTCGCGCCAGCCAGTGGGCAGCACGAGCTCCGCCTCACTTGCCAAGTTTCTCCGCTTTCTTTTTTGGCCCTGAGGCCTGCTGCGGCGAGCTATGAAATTCCGAGTGCCTATCTGACGCTTGTATGCGAGCCGTTGCTGGGGCCTGGTGAGCTTGGTCGTCTTTCTTTCTGCATACATTCGTCCTCTGCCCACTGGTACAGAAAGACAGATCTCCATGCGTGATCGAACGTGTGAGGATCTTACTGATATTTTGTACAGAAGTGTAAGACACTGGCGTTCAGCTGTTCTCTGTTGGTGTTTACGCTCCACATGCACTTCCTCCTAGCCCAACCTTCATTTCTCCTGATCTACTTTTTAACTTCTTCATACTATCTAGCTGAAAATGCATTTATATTTGCTTTAGCTCTTCGCTGTGGCAGCGATATTTCACATTCTAACCAAAGTAGCGAAGTTTTTGTACGTAGTCCTAATTAAATTTATTAGTGATTATCTTGATCCCTGTCTTCATCCATAGTGAAAATAGTTTCTCAAAATCTATCCTATTAATTTCCTTTAGTTTAAAGGCTCATCAGATTATCTTTTCGCCTTCTGTTTTCATTGGAGCAGGAGTAGGCCATTCAGCCCCTTGAGCCTGTACCATAATTCAATGAGATCATGGCCGATCTATTGGCTAATTCCAGGTTCCGGCCTTCGGCTGAAAACTGTTAATATCTTTGCTTAAGAAAAAAAATTATCTATCCCAGATTAACAACCGATCCAGCACCCAGCTGCTTTTTCTGGAAGAGAATTTAAAACATTTATCACTCTTTGTGTGGAGAAGTGCTTCCTAACATTTCTCCTCAACAGTCTGGTCCTAATTATCAGGCTGTTTCTCTAGCTCTAGAATCAACAACCAGTGAATAATTTTTCTAAAGAACCCTATTTGGCCTTACCTGATAAGTAAATCTTCCCAATTCAGGTGACCTCCTTGTGAGATTTTTCTTTTGCACCTTCAACAGCATGTCTGAAAACCTTCTATAATGTGGACACCAGAACTCTGCTGCAGAGTATATTGGAGTAGTATTGTATTGGTGAATGAGATGAGCTTACTGCTTGTTCACTTTTTTTCTCCGATTTAAGATAATAACATAAGAAAAAGGAGCAGGAGAAAGGCCATGACCCATTTCACCTGTTTTGCGAACACGGCAGATCTGTCACCTAAGTACCAAGCTCTTTATTCTCCTAGAGTTCAAAAATCTGTCAATCCATGTCATCAATACATGCAGTGAGTATCCACAGTGCTGTGGGGCAGCAAATTCCAACAATTCCTAACCTAAGTGAAGGATTCCTTCTCATCTCACTCTTAAATGGTTTACCCCTTATTCTGCGTTAATAAATGTGGAGCTGGGAAAGCACAGCAGGTCAGACAGCATCGAGGAGCAGGGAAGTCCCCTTATTCTGATGTTAAACTCTTTAGGTCTAGTTTCTCAGGGCAGAGGGAGCAACCTCTCTATGTTTAGTCTAACTAGGGCCCTCAGAATATTTTATATTTCAATGAGAATTTTCTCCTTTGGAAGAAGTGAAGAATTATCATTAGTCTAAACTTCAAAGACTATTGGTTCAACCTATTCTACCCCCCAACCCAAGGAATAATGTAATAAATATTTGCTGCATGCTTCCAAGACAAATATATCTATTCTTAACTAAGAAGAAAAACTGTGCAGTGTACTGTCACTGCCTCACCAAAGCTCTGTCTGATTTCAGCGAGACTTGTTTGTTCTTGTCCTCTGACGTTCGTTTTGCTTCCAGTAGGATATCATTACGTTTTGTGGCAATGCTTATGTCATCCCTCACAACATAACTGGAACTGGTTAACATGGCATTGAAAGATCCATTAGACACTTATTCCAGATCACCAATATATTACAAATATTCCATTCACGTGCACATCCAGTGCCTGGGTAGACATTACTATTCAGTTACAAACAACAGTATCATGCTTCAGGTGGTCCCATTTAAGATGGAATCTGAGACCTTTATACCCTCAGATCACATGCTATGAGACAGCCTATGATATTGTGAGCAGTAAATGGCAGAATCCTTAGCAATATTTATGATAAAGAGGGATCTTGGAGTGTAAGTGCTAGAATCCCTGAAAGTGGCAATGCAAGTGGTAAAGAAGGCACAGAGCATGCTTGCCTTCATTGGTTGGAGTATTGAGTATGGAATTTGGCAAGTCATGTACAAGTTTGGAGTATTCTGTGCAGTTCTGGTTGCCACACTATAGGAAGGGTGTGGAGGCTTTGCAGAGGGTGCAAAAGAGGCTTACCAGGACGTAGCCTGGTTTGCAGTGTATTAGCTATAAGGACAGGTTGGACAAACTTGGATTTTGCTAGAATGTTGGAGGCTGAGAGGCAACTTGATTGCATTATATAAAATTACGACAGGAAGTCTGAATCTTATTTCCCAGGGTCATAATGTCAAAGACTAAGTGGCATAGGTTTAAGGTGAGAGGGGAAAAATTAAAGAAGATGTGCGAAGAAAGATTTTTACACAGAGGTACATGGAATGTGCTGCCAGGGGAGGTGGTAGAAGCAAATACAATAGCAACATTTAAGAGGCATTTAGACAGACACATGAATAGGCAGAGAATAGAGCTATGAACCATATGCAGGGAGATGGGATTAGTTTAGAATGGCATCATGGTCGGTGCAGACATGGTGGACTGAAGGGCCTGTTCCTGCGCTGTACTGCTGTGTGTTCTAATTGCTTAGTGTACCTGCATGTTCTTTGTATGTATACACTTGCGTCTCTGAACATCAACACTTAAAAGGTTCCCACTATCTTAAAAAGTATTCTGATCTTCTATTCTTCCTAACAAAGTAAATAACCTCTCATTTCCCTATATTGTACTCCTTATTACCCATTCAATTAACATGTCCATATCTCTTTGCAGCCTGTTTAGTATCCTTCCTTCATCTAAGTCATTACTATAGATTGTAAATAGCTGAGGCTCAACACTAATCCTTTAGGCACTCCACTGGTCACAGGCTACAAATCTGAATATGCTCCATTTATTGCAACTCTACTTAACCAGTCATCTATCTATGCTAATATATTAACATCTTGAATAATAACATTATATGCAGCACCTCATTCAATGCCTTTTTAAAATCAATATGTACTACATCCACTGACTTCCCTTTGTCTACCTATTAATTATGAGCTCAAAATGCATAATATTTTTCCATACATGGTTCCTCCTCATAAAACAATGTTGAATCTGCCTAATCATATTTTAGAAATCATTTTCTAAGTGTCTTGATTACTCCTTCATCGTTTCACTGTTGACTAATGTAAAGCTAAGTGGCCAGCAGTTCTCAGATTTTCCCTTTATTCCTTTCTCAAAGGGCAATATTACAATTTTTGCTTTCCTATTTGCAGGGGCCATTCTAAAATCTAGGCAATTTTGAAGGATTACAGCATCCGCTGTCATCGCAGCCAGTTCTCTGACCATTGGCGTAGGCCACCAGTCCCAGGGAATTTGTCAAATATTAGTTTCTGAAGTAATTTATCATCACATTAATAATTACTTTAATTTCCTTATTCTTGTTAGGTCCTTGCTTCCTCATTATTTTTCATATGCGTTTTGAAGACAGACAAAATATTTGTTTAACGGTTCTTCTATTTCCTTATTCCCTGTTATAGCCTCTGTGGTTTTTTTAAAATTCATTCATGGGATATGGGTGTCACCTGCTAGGCCAACATTTATTGCTCATCCCTGATTGCCTGAGGGCAGTTAAGAGTCAACCACATTCATATGGGTCTGGAATCATATGTAGGCCAGACTGCATAAGGGTGGTAGTTTCTCTCCCTAAAAGACATTAGCAAATCAGATTTTTTGTTTTTAAACAATAATTGACTACTTTCCCTAGTATTTTCTGACCCTTGTTATTCCTGACCTGTATCCAATACTTAGTATATTTCCTGATCTTCTGTGCCAAACCATTTGGTACTCTAAAATGAAAGACTTGTTGTATGTACTGCTACAGGATAATAATGGTGAAAATGAGGTGTGATTGTGATGTGGTCTTTTTTAAAAAATATTTTCATTACAATAACAACTTAAAGATTGCATGTGTTTAAACCAGAGTAGAAACACCGATCCCATGATTGTACTGACATTATAACAGAAACATAGAAAATAAGAACAGGAGTGACCATTCAGTCCTTCAAGCCTGTTCTGCCATTCAATATATTCATGGCTGAACATCCAACTCCGTGTCCTGTTCCCAATTTCTCCCCACACCCTTTAGGCCCAATAACTCTCTCTAACTCCATCTTGGAAACATTCAATGTTTTGGCCTCAACTGCTTTATGTGGCAGAGAATTCCACAAGTTCACAACTCTCTTGGTAAAGAAATTCCTCCTTATCTCAGTTCTAAAAGGTCATTCTATGACCCTTGATTCTGTACTCCATGGTCATCGAGAACATCCTTCCTCCATCTACCCTGTCTAGTCCTGTTAGAATTTTATAGGTTTCTATAAGATCCCCCTCATTCTTCTAAACTCCAGTGAATATAGTCCTAACTGATACAGTCTCTTTCTGTACATTAGTCGTGCTATCCCAGGAATCCGTCTGATAAACCTTCTTTGTATTCGCTCAATAGCAAGAACAAGCCTTCTCGGATAAGGAGACCAAAACTGCTCGAAGTGTGATCTTACCAATCTCCAGTACAGTTGCAGCAAAACATCCCTATGCCTGTACTCAGATCCTCTCGCTATGAAAGCTGGTGTCCCATCTGCCGCCTTTGCCATCTGCTGCACCTGCATGTTTACTTTTGGCAACTGGTGTAGGAAGACATCCAAGATTTGTTGGATCTCTCCCTTTCCCAATCTATTGCCAAGCTTTCCTGTTCTTTTCTTTACCAAAGTGAATAATGTCATTTTTCTACATTATACTGCTCCTGCCATGATTTTACTCATTTACTTAAATTGTCCTAATCACATTGAAACTTCTCTGCTCACAGATTGCCTTCCCAACCAGCTTTATGTCCTCTGCAAACTTGGAGATATGATACACAGTTTGCTCCTCCAAACCATTAATATATATTGTGAATAGTTGAGATTCAGGCACTGATCCCTGTAGTAGACATTGGCGCCACTCAGAAAAATTTAATTCCTGTTCCTTGTTTCCTGTCCGCCCTCAATCTATTTCAGTACACAACCTCAGATCTCATGCACTTTGATTTTACATATGTCTTGTGTGTGGAACCTTATCAAAAGCAATCTAAAAATCCAAGTAAACCCCATCCAATGGCTCCTCCTTATCTACTCTAGTTACATCTTCAAAAAGTTCCAGCAGATTTGTCAAGCACATCTTCCCCTTCGTGAAACTATGCTGACTCTGTCCTCCTTGTCACTTCCAAATGCTGTGCTATTACATCTTTTACAATGGACTCTAATGTTTTTCCCACTACTGATGTCAAGCTAACTGATCTAGAATGTTTTCTCTCTGCCTCCCTTCTTAAAATGTGGGCTTCATTAGCTACCCTCTAATCTGTAGGAACTGTTCCACAGTCTGTAGAATGTTGGAAGATGATCACTAGCACATCTGCTATTTCTAGGGCAACTTCCTTAAGTACTCTGGTATGAAGGTTATCAGGCTCTGGGCAGCCATTCTCTCCTCCACCCCACCCACTGCATTTTTGGAATGTTGTTTGTGTTTTCCTTTTCAAAGACAGAACTAAAGTATGTATTTAATTGGTTTTTTTTGTTCCCTCTTATAAATTCCCTTTGTCAGTCCCTCTGTCTCCCTTTATTAGAATCTAAACTTTCACAATCCTCAGATCTGCTGGGTTTTTTATTTGGCCAATTTACGTGCCTCCCTCTTGGATTTAATACTATCTCTAATTTCTCCTGTTAGTCATGGTCTGAGCACATTTCCCATTTTATTTTCATACCAGACTGGGATGAATAAACTTTACAGTTCATCCATGAGCTCTTTAAATTTTTGCCATCACCTGTCTGTCATTATCCCTTTAAATAATAATCCTCAATTTGTCGTAGCTAGCTCACATCTCATGCCATCATAATTTCCTTAATGAGTTGGGCATTGATAACAACTCCCCTAAATGCAGTACTATTGGCCTAGTTAATGTGCTAAGGAGACTGGTATGGGGCTAGAACCTGACACTTTCTGACTGAAGTGAAAGTGCAATTGTAAAATTGTATAGTGCAGAAGAAGTCCTTTGACCCATCAAGTGTGCATCTACCCGTGAGAAGCACCTGACCTTCAATCTAATTCCAATTATCAGCACTTGGCTCATAGCCTTGAATGCAGTAATGTTCCAAGAGCTCATCTAGGTACTTTTTAAAAGATGTGAGGCAATTTGCCTCTGCCAACCTCCCAGGCAGCACATTCCAGACCATCACCATTCTCTGCGTTTTAAAAAACGAGGTTTTCCTTCCATCTCCTCCAGCCTCTTGCCCCTTACCTTGAACCTGTGCGTCCTCTTGACTAACCCTTTAACTGAGGGCAACAGCTGCGCTTTATCCATTCTGTCCATGCCCCTCAATCTTGTACACGTCAATCAGAAGACCCCTCAGTCTTAACTCCACCCCCCCAAATAAAAAACCAAGCCTATCCAGCCTTTCCTCAAACTTAAATTTCCCATCCCAGGCAGCATCCTGGTGAATCTCCGCTGCACTCCCTCCAGTTCCTGTAATGTGGCGACCAGAACTGCATGCAGTATTCTACCTGTGTCTCACCAAAGTTCTTTACAACTCCAACATGACTTCCTTGCTTTTGTATTTTATGCCTCGATTGATAAAGGCAAGTGTCCTGTATGTCTTTTTCACCACTCTACTGACATGTCCTTGAGTCTTCAATGGAGAAATACTCCAAGGTCCCTTTGTCCACAGAACTTCCTGGTGTCATTCTATTGCTTGAATACTTCTTTGTCAGATTACTCCTTTCAAATTGTATTAACTCGTGCTTTTCAGGGTTAAATTCCATCTGCCACTTATCTGCCCATTTGACTATCCTGTTTATACGTTCTTATCACTCAAGACACTCAACCTCACTGTTAGGCACCTGACCAATCTTTGTATTGTCCGCAAACTTACTAACCCAAACCCCCACACAATTATCTATGTCATTTATGTAAACGGCGAATAAAAGGGGATCCAGCACACCTGCCTGTGGTATGCCATTGAACACCGACTTCCATTCACTAAAGCAGCCTTCTACATTCACCCTCTGTCTGTCACAACTGAGTAAAGTTTTAATCCACTTTATCAAATTACCGTGTATCCTGTGTCCATTTGCCTTCATGATAAGTCTCCCACGTGGGACCTTGTCAAAGGCTTTGCTGAAATCCATATAAACTACATCAACTGCACTACCCTTTTCTATACACCTGGTCACCACATCAAAAAATTCAATCAAATTTGTTAGCATGATCTCCTTCTGCCAAAGCTATGCTGACCATCTCTGATCAAACCTTGCCTCTCCAAGTGGAGGTAGATGCTCTCCTTCAGGGTTCTTTGGCTTATTTCTGCAATCTTCCTTAAATATCAGAACCACATTAGTCCTCTGGCACCTCACCTGGGGCCAGAGAGGAATTAAAAATTTGGGTCAGTGGCATTGCAGTCTCCTCCCTGTCTTCCCACAGCAGCCAAGGACACAATTTCATTTTTTCCTTTATTCATTCGTGGGATGAGGGCGTGGCTGGCTAGGCAGCATTTATTACCCATCCCTAATTGCCAAGAGGGCAGTTAAGAGTCAACCACATTGCTACGGATCTGGAGTCACATGTAGGCCAGACCAGGTAAGGATGGTAGTTTCCTTCCCTGAAGGACATTAGTGAACCAGATGGGTTTTTCCAACAATGATTCTTGGTCATCATTAGATTCTTAATTCCAGATACTTATTAAATTCAAATTCCACCATTGGCCGTGGTGGAATTCAAACCCAGCTCCCCAGAACATTATCTGGGTCTCTGGATTAACAGTCCAGCGATAATACCACTAGGCCTTTTTATTTGGACCCAGAGATTTGTTCACCTTTAAGCCTGCCAGCACCTCCAATACCTTGTCCTTCCCTATGTCAATTTGCTTAAGCACCTCGCAGTCCCTTCCCCCAGGGTGCCGTATCTTCATCCTCATTCTCTTGAGTGAAGATAGATGATATTGGGTCAAGACTTTACCTGTGTCCTCTGGCTCCACCCACAGATTGCCCCCTTGTTCCCTAATGGGGTCACCCTGGTTACACTCTTCCCATTGATGTATTTATACTTGTAGAATATCTTGGGATTTTCCCTACTTTTATGAGCCAGAGTTTTGTCATATCCCCCTTTGCTTTCCTAATTGCCATTAATCTCCATTAATTCCTCCGCTTGTACCTGCCTCTTTTCTCCCTTCTTATCCTGAATATCTCTGATCATCCATGGTTCTCTGGGCTTGTTATTCTTTCCTATATCCCTAGAGGGAACATGTTAGGCTTGTACCCTCTCCATTTCCTTTTTGAATGTTCCCCACTGCTCTTCTGTAGTTTTCCTCACTAGTAATTGTTCCTGGTCTACCTTGGCCAGATCCTGCCGTATTTTACTAAAATCTGCTCTTTCCCCAATCCAAAACCTTTTTCTTGCAACTTATCTATTTCTTTTTCCATATTCAGCTTAAATTATACAATGTTGTGATTGCTATCACTAAAATGCTCCCTCACCACCACCAGAATTAGGTCCAGGACCCTCTACATATTGGCCTAAAAGGTTCTCCTGTACATATTTCAAGAAATGCGCTCAATCCAAGCACTTAACATTATGTCTATCCCAGTTAATGTTGGGAAAGTTGAAATCACATGTTATAATTACCTTTTTGTTATTATTTTTACATACATCCACAAATCGTGCAAAAATTTGCTCCTCAATTTCCTGTCAGCTCTCTGGGAGTCTATAATAAACACCTAGCAATCCAGCTGTCCCTTTTTTATTCCTAAACTCTACCTACAAAACTTCATCCACAATTTAAATAACAAATTATATTGAAGTTCTTTCTTTCCTGGAAGTATTCAGCTTTTTCTCTGCAATTAATTTAAATTACTAAATTCAAATTGATGCTTTTGGGGATAAAGAAAGAATTTTCTGCTAATACTTGCCACTGCCTTTTTGCTTGTCATTCACTCATCCTCTCTCTCACTTGTGCTGTCAACCCCCTCCACTCATGATAACAGTTTGTACAATTGTAGAAGCCCATGTCAGTTCTTTGCAAAGTTGGTTTTGAATTATGTGTGCTTGTATTGTCATTTAGGAAATGTTTCTGTTCTGATGCAGGCTGAAGGATTAAAAAATGAGCCTGCGAAAGCAAACACCCAGTGATTTTCTAAAACAGATCATCGGGAGACCAGTGGTGGTCAAACTGAACTCGGGCGTGGATTATCGAGGTACAGTAAGTCCTCACTTAAAATTGTAATTGAGTTCCTGAAAATCTCAACTTCAAGTGAAATAACTGAGTGAACCATGAGTTGCCATAGGAATCGAGGTTAAAACTACTGTTGGGACCTTTTGGACATTCGTTCCTGGACAAACCAAATGTACAAGTCAAAATAGCATTTTGCACATGTGCAGCACTGCATTCCTACTGAAATAATTTGCAAAACAGAACAAGTCATTTCAAATGTTAAAGAGATACTACATAAATTGAAGAGAAAACATTGGAGGGCTATGCAATAAGAGCAGGAGGTGAGAATACATGTGATTGGATAGCTACTTCAAAAGCCAGCACCAAAATGATAGGATGAATAACTTTCTTTTGTGGTGTAAAATTTTGATTAGTCCATGATTCAAGCGAAGTTAAGGGAAGGTCCCTAATCCTAGTTCACTATCCCTTAATCTAACTTCCTCAGGTAGTCTCTATCGTATTTTCTTCTGTAAGCTTCTGAAACCTTTTCCCCTTCCTACCTCCTATAGTGCTTCCAGCCTTACAGCAAAGTGCATTTTAAAAAATCATGGAATGCTGTATTTTCATTTTTGCATTTTTTACCTCAATATATTGTGTGTAGTTGCCCTGATGATTTTTTTTCTGATCATTATTAGCTCTTAGAACAAAACATTTAATCCTGTACCATGGATATAAGCCCTACAGCCCCTTCAAATGAATTTCCAGTATTCTTTGCCTGAATTTCAATAGATTGTCATAATATAAAAATTCACTTGTAACCTAATTCACAGCTATGATGTTCAACTTCAGTGTTGCACGTTTCTATTGCCAATTGCATTCACAAACTTTGTAAAATCAGAAGTCATGGCGTAAATTGTTTAGGGAAACAGGCCTTGAAGAATAAACATCTTTAAAACAAAGCAATGCTAAACAGAACAACTTAAAGTGAGGACTTATTGTATTGGAATCGTCTCTCTCAGCTGCTTAAATGCTAGTTTAAAAAAGACCAGGTCACAGAATCACTGAAGTTTTTTGGCACAGAAAGAGGCCATTCGGCCCATTATATCTGCACTGTTAAACGAGCATCATTACCCAGAGCTGATTTCCTGCTTTCCCCCCATACCCTTGCACATAATTTTTATCCAAATAATCATCCAGTGACTTCATGAATGCCTCAATGGAACCTAATTCCACCACACTTCTACGCAGTAAATTCCATACCCTAATGAATGAAAGTAATTTTCCTCACTTCACCCTTGCTTCTTTTGCACTTTAGATCACTTCATATCTATGTTCTTGTAATGAGTTTTTTTCTCTCTCTCTCTACTGTCTAGCCCTCACATGATCTTGAAAACCTCTATCAGATCTCCTCTTAGCCTTTTCTTTCCAAAGAGAACAGTCCCAACATCTTCAATCATTCCTCATCCCTAGATCCATTTTTGTAAATCGCTTCAGCACTTTGTTCAATGCGTTCACATCCTTCCTATAACGTGGCACCCACAACTGTACCCAGTACTCCAGCAGAGGTCTAACAAGTGTCTATATAAGTTCAGCATCATCTCCTTGTTCTTGCACTCTATTAATAAATCTGTGGCTACTGTATGCTTTATTTATTCCTCTCCCTTTACCTGTGCTGCCACTTTCAAAGATCTGTGCACATACACACCCAGGTCCCTATACTCTTGCATCCCCCATATAATTGTACCCACTATTTAATATTGTCTTTCAATGTCCTTCTTACCAAAGTGTTTCAACCTGCACTTCTCTGCAATGAAATGCATCTGCTACCCATGTGCCCGCTCCACCAACTTCTTCCACACCTTGTATCTTTTGCAAACTTTGAAATCGCCCCTGCACATCAAGATCCAGATAATTAATATATATCAGGAGAAGCAAGGGTCCCAATACTGACCCCTGGGGATCTCCACTAAAAACTTTTCCCCAGTCTAAAAATATATTGCTCTATTCATTTTGCTACTGACCCTTTTATAACATGAGCTATAACTTTCCTCACAAGTCTGTGTTGTGGTACTGTACCAAACACCTTTTCAACATCCATGTGCACCACCTCAACAATATTATCTTCATCAAGCATTTTTGTTTCCTGTTCAGAAAACTCCAAGTTAGTTAAACACCATTTTCCACTTTAGGAAGAGTCAGTGTGGATTTCTAATCAACCCACCATTTTCCATGTGTTATTAATTCTATCCTGAATAATTGTGTCAAAACTTCCCCAATACTGAAATTAACCTGATTAGTCTGTAATGATTGGCTTATCCTTGGCATCTCCTCCAAAACTAGGGAAGACTGAAAGACTGTGGCCAGTACCCCTGCAATTTCCACACCATTTATATAAATGATGAAAAGTAATGGACCCAGCGTTGACCCTTGTGGCACACCAATGGTCACAGGCCCCCAGTCTGAAAAGCAACCGTCCATCACCACCCCCGATCTTCTACCTTCGAGCCAGTTCTGTATCATTGCTATGTTACAAAACTGAATATTGCATTGAGCATTCTAATCTTGGATTTTAATAAATTTCAATTGCAGTTGTATCATTTTTGCCAGGTGTTTTGGCCTGTCTGGATGGTTACATGAATATAGCATTGGAACAAACAGAAGAATATGTAAATGGTCAACTTAAGAACAAGTATGGAGATGCATTTATTCGAGGCAACAATGGTAAATTCACTTCTTTTCTTTCTAAATAAAATTTGAAAATTATGCTTTATATTGGACTGTAAAACTACAACTGTATATTGATTTCTGAAGAAGGGTCTAGGCCCGAAACATCAGCCTTCCTGCTCCTCGGCCTGCTGTGTTCATTCAGCTCTACACCTTGTTAACTGTATATTGAGAAAGTTTTTGAAAAAAGTATTCTTCCTAGGACTGATTAGTTGCTTGCATGACTCTCTTGTGCTTTCTGTCTGACACTCCGTTTCTCTCACTATTTCGTTTCTGTATCATTTCTGTCTCTTTCCTGAAGAAAACTACGCTTTTTTTTTTAAAACGCACTAAGTCCTTGATGCCCGTGAGGAATAGAGCATGGACCTCCCACAGATACCAAAAAAAATGAATACCATGGATATTCTAGGCCTTTCCCCTATGCAGCCAATACATGCCCAATGAAATAGAAACATGCCCCATGTTGGAAAAGCATTAAAACATTTCAATAAACCTATTTAAACTTCTAAATATATACATTACTTAAACGGAAATTATATTATTGTAGTTAACAAAACAATACTTTATAGTAAAAATGCATAGGCAGTGCAGTACTCTATTCAATACTGGTACAGTATTAGATGAAATGAGCAGCATCTTAGTTGATATCTAACAGCATCAACTGTTGATGAGGAGACAGAGACTGGAAGCAAGACGGCAGCAAGGAAGAGGCATGCAGTTGGGTTTCATCTGCTGGCTGTGCACTTGCTTGGCTTTTGTAAAGTGCATTGTATAGAAGTTGTCATACCTTCTTTAATTCATTATTGATCTCTGCATAAGGAACCAAAGCATTTTCTACATCCTCTTTGACTCGAATGCTATGCCCGAGAGAAGGATCATATTTAAACAATAGAGATAGTAGGAGCTGCCGATGCTGGAGAATTTGAAATAACAAGGTGTAGAGCGGGATGAACACAGCAGGCCAGGCAGCGTCGGAGGAGCAGGAAAGCTGACGTTTTGGGTCTGGACCCTTCAGAAAATTTTCTGAAGAAGGGTCCAGACCCGAAATGTCAACTTTCCTGCTCCTCTGATGTTGCCTGGCCTGCTGTGTTCATCCAGCTCTACACCTTGTTATCTCGTATTTAAACAATTCATCTGTCAATGGTTTTGATCATCTCACTAAAACATCTAATTCCTCCTCCTATTAATCTGAACATGCTCTAGAACCTCACCATCCCAACTGACATCTCCAGTTACAATGTCTTTCTGTTTTGTGAATACAGATGAGAAACATTCATTTAAGACCTCACCTGCATCCTCTGGCTCCATGCTCCAATTGCCTCTTTGGTTTCCAAAAGGCCCCACTCTTTCCCTGTTAATCTGGTTGTTTTAATATACTTACAAAATACCTTGGAGTTTTCCTTGATTGTATCTGCCAAAGAACCCCTACGCACACTATTCTCCTGAAGGGACTCTCTGTTTTTAATGCTGTATACCTAACGCATACTTCCATCTTTTTCTTTATCAAACTGTCTGTCCCTTGCCATCCTGCACTTCCTTCACTTTTGGGGGAACACACTGGCCCTGAGTTCTCGGTATAGTTCTTTCAAAAGACTCCCACTTTCCAACTGAAGAGTTATCTGCGAGTAGCTGCTCCCATTCTATATTTTCCAGATCCTGTCTAATGGTATTAAAATTGGCCTTCGTTCAATTTAGACACTTAATTTATATATTATCCTTTGTCCCTTTCTATGATGAAAATTTAGAGCTATAGTCACTTAACAACTTGACCGGCTTCATTCCCTAGCACAAAAAGCTCTCTTGTATGCACTTTAAAAACTCCAACTCATCTAATCCTTTCATTCTAAAGCAATCCCAGTTAATATTATTTGTGGTTCCATTCTTGAGTATGTTTATAAGTTGATTTGTACATAAGTCGGAACACTGCAGGATGATATAGAGTAGCCATTTGTAAGTACAGGAAATGTTTTTATGTCACATCTTTAAAATTACCATGTATGTGATTATGTTCATAAGTACGAGTGTTCTTAAGTTGGACGTTCTTAAATTAGGGACACCCTGCATAGTTTTAGCACCACCTCCCTATTTTTATATTCCGTTCCCTTTGAAATAAAAACCAACATTCCATTTACCATAGATAGTAGGAACTGCAGATGCTGGAAAATCTGAGATAACAAGGTGTAGAGCTGGATGAACACAGCAGGCCAAGCAGCATCATAGGAGCAGGAAGGCTGACGTTTCGGGCCTAGACCCTTCTTCAGAAATGGGGGAGGGGGAAGGGGGTTCTGAAATAAATAGGGAGAGAGGGGGAGGCGGATAGAAGATGGATAGAGGAGAAGATAGGTGGAGAGGAAACAGACAGGTCAAAGAGGCGGGGATGGAGCCAGTAAAGGTGAGTGTAGGTGGGGAGGTAGGGAGGAGATAGGTTAGTAGGTAGGAAATGGGGGTGCGGCTTGAGGTGGGAGGAGGGGATAGGTGGGAGGAGGAACAGGTTAGGGAGGCGGGGACGAGCTGGGCTGGTTTTGGGATGCAGTAGGGGGAGGGGAGATTTTGAAGCTTGTGAAATCCACATTGATACCATTGGGCTGCAGGGTTCCCAACCTGTTCCTGCAACCTTCGGGTGGCATCGTTGTGGCACTGCAGGAGGCCCAGGACGGACATGTCGTCTGAGGAATGGGAGGGGGAGTTGAAATGGTTCGCGACTGGGAGGTGCAGTTGTTTATTGCGAACCGAGCGTAGGTGTTCTGCAAAGCGGTCCCCAAGCCTCCGCTTGGTTTCCCCGAAGTAGAGGAGGCCACAACGGGAACAGCGGATGCAGTATACCACATTAGCAGATGTGCAGGTGAACATCTGCTTGATGTGGAAAGTCTTCTTGGGGCCTGGGATGGGGGTGAGGGAGGAGGTGTGGGGACAGGTGTAGCACTTCCTGCGGTTGCAGGGAAAAGTGCCGGGTGTGGTGGGGCTGGAGGGGAGTGTGGAGTGGACAAGGGAGTCCCGGAGAGAGTGGTCCCTCCGGAAAGCAGATAAGGGTGGGGAGGGAAAAATGTCTTTGGTGGTGGGGTCAGATTGCAGATGGCGGAAGTGTCGGAGGATGATGCGTTGGATCCGGAGGTTGGTGGGGTGGTACGTGAGGACGAGGGGGATTCTTTTTTGGTTGTTATTGCGGGGACGGGTGTGAGGGATGCGTTGCGGGAAATGCGGGAGATACGGTCAAGGGCGTTCTCGACCACTGAGGGGGGGATGTTGTGGTCCTTGAAAAACGAGGACATCTGAGATGTACGAGAGTGGAATGCCTCATCCTGGGAGCAGACGCGGCAGAGGCGAAGGAATTGGGAATGGGGATGGCATTTTAGCAGGAAGGTGGGTGGGAGGAGGTGTATTCCATTTACCATCCCTATTGCCTGCTGAACTTGAACACTAGCTTTTGTAATTTATGCATGAGGGCTCTCAAATTCCTCTTCTGTAGCTTTCTGTAGTGTTTCTGCATTTAAATAACAGTTAGCTCCTCTATTTTTCTTGCCAAAGTGCATAACCTCATATTTTCCCATAATATATTCCAACTGTCAAGTTTTTGCCCATTCACTCAAACTATCTATATCCCTCTGTTTACTGAGTCCTTGTCACCAAAATATTTAAACTATGTAAAATCTTGACCACGAATTAAATTCACATCTACTCACCCTACCTGTCCAATGTAGTGTGCTGCTCCGATATTGGATCACGAGAAGTAACTTGTTTTTCAAAATATCAAATAATACAAATGTTATTTGGAAGCTAAGAGATGGACAACAGGGGATTTTTTAATAAATGCAGTACTGTTCTGGCAGTTTAATTGGTCTGTTTCGTTTTCCAAAGTAACACTTGTTTAAAAATCCCCCTCAGAAATATGAACAAAACTGGTCTTGACTCATGTCATGCTTGGTATGTTGGTGATGAAAGAAACAACCAGCTTACTGAGCAACAAAGCATGTAATTATTAAAATAGTATAATGAAAACAGTAAGTTTTATTAATTATTGCCATTTTATTGGAAACACTGCCACTGACAGTTTAGGAGAAAAGTGCACAATTGTGTGCAAGCTGGAATACATGGATTGCTTTAGGTACTCAATTTTTGTTTCCTCTCACCTTGAATTATCAAATATACTGGCCTCCATATATGAATATATAGATTAATTTGCGTTTGGTCTGTTTATCTTAAACTAGAGAATCTTTACGTTTTTCTTTTTTCCTTGCAGTGTTGTATATAAGCACACAGAAGAGGAGACTTTAGATGATGATGTGCACCAAAATGACATGTTTTTTGATTTTAAAATGACAAAAAAGGGTTTATTTTTTAAACGAGGAAAAGACATTCTAGTACAATATACAATACTTCTTTTCAATTTTTGGCTATCTACAATACATGTGATAGTTCTTCATAAATGAAGATGATTGATTTACATTTTCTTGAAGCCTTTCTTTGGTCATTTTTCAGAAATGGATAATGGCTGTAATGTAATATATAAAACCTGAAGATTAATTAAGGCAAACACTGGCCTGTTTTGGAAACCCTGTGTACATTTAAAGCTAACTACCTGCTTAGGGAAAAGTGACCTAATTGCTGACAATGTTGTGAATAAAGGATTTGATGTATGTGTCTCACTTTGTTTAAGTTTAATATCACTCTAAAAATAAATTACAACACTTTTTCACCAAAGGACAGGGGAAATGCATAAAAACTTCTGTTTGAAATCCGTTAGTGAAATCGATGCTGTATCCATGAATTTTTTGATTTTGCTTTAAGTAATAACAGTCTTTCCCCTAGGCTCTTTGAATCAGTTAATAACAGCAGAGTTGTACAGAAGAGGTGGTTTCCCCTTGTGGAAGAGCCTAGGACCACAGGGCATGATCCCAGGTTAACGGAACAGAGTGGAAGATGAATTTTCACTTGAGATTACTACTTCTGTGGAATTCTTTACCACAGAGGGCTGTAGAGGCTGTGTTGTATGTTCAAGGCTGAAATAGACAGATTTTTAATAGTAGGGGGATGAAGGGGTATGGGGAAAAGACAGGAAAATTGAGCTGAAGATATTCGGATCAGCCATAATCTCATGGAAGGTGGAGCAGACTCAACGGGCTGAATCACGTACTTCTACATCTTACGGTAATTGTGTAGATATTCTGTGTAAAAACCAGAAGAACTGCAGATACTGTAAATCAGAAACAAAAGTAGAAATTGTTGAAAAAGCTCCGCAGGTCTGTTAACTCTGATTTCTCTCCACAGATACTGCCAGACCTACTGAGCTTTTCCAGCAATTTCTATTTTTTGTTTTAGATAATAGGTGTAATGGTTGGTCTGTAACTCAGCCAGAAAATCTTGCAGCACAGGGAGGCTGTTTCACTGGTGCCTTTGCTGGCTCTTTGATCGAGTAATCAAATTAAAACTGTTCCCTTGTCCTTCCCTCATAGACCTGCATTTTTTAACTTTTCAAGTGCATATTCAGTTCTACTTTGAAAGATATGTTTTTGTTCTGAATTTTGAATTAGATGTTAAGTTTTAAAATGGGCCAATTTTTTTTTTCTTAACCTTTGTGTTTATATATAACCCTTTTTGTCCAGGACTGACACAGTGCACTAGTGCAACATTTGTTTAACATATTTGAACCGTGTACTTTTCACCACTCCCCATTCTCAGTGTTGTAAATTTAGTGAGACCACTGAGCAGAGACATGTTGCTTGCCTGAAGGGAGTGGACACCTGGTGTCCTTACTGTCGACCTTTCTTGCTCACCACCGACTGGTGCAAAGTGTTGGAGTGAGGACCCACAACCTTTTGTGCATAATAAGTGGTGTGTTGGGAGATAGTTGAATGGAGAAAGTAATCAGTGAATAATGAGAAATAAGGATAACTGGTATTGCAGAGCTAGTAATTAGAGTTTTAGAAAAAAGTTAAATTTGATATCTTATTCCAGATATGTCTGCTCTTTTCTCTTGGGCTTTTTAAAACTGCTAGTCACATTTTTGAGGTGATGAGTGCTATTGAGTTTCATGTGTTCTGCTTTGAGTTTCACTATTTTGTAACTTTTTTGCAATATACAAAATACTTACATGATTATTGCACGTGATGCTGTTGTCTCATTCCTGTTTAACGATATTAGACAACTCTGACCAGAATGTTATGAATTAATTTGCCCAGGTGTCCCACAATCCCAAAGTGGTCAAATCAACGTGAACCCAATCCGATACCAATGCGCAACAGTCCGAACTTTATTCGGAACAAAGTTGCAGTAATCTTTAATACTAAACATATTATCTCTAAAATCTAATTTGGCTCCTTAAAGTTACAATACTTCCTGAGTCTTGTAGATTTACGCAGTCGCGTTCCCTCTCTCTGGCTCTGTCTCTGAGTCTGCAAAGTTGCTTTCTTTCTCTCTCCCTCTGGATGGTCAGCTGGTCTCAGCCTGTTGCCATGCTGGTCTCCTCAGGTATTTCAAACTGGGTTCCAAGAGCGAGGTCTGCAGGTGAACCTTCTTTCTATACATTTTAAATGGTTTTCTAGAACTTTCTCTAGTTCTGGCCAATCAAGGAAGTACACTTAATAGTTTGAAACAGAGTCAGTCTTTTGGATGGCCTGCTACTATTCGTTTCTTTGTGTGACAGGGCCCTCCTTTGTTTAGTGGAAACATTGTTGGGATATGTCTGTCCAGGATAACTGTTGCCTTTTACATTATGCTGATGTACTTAGCACCTGGCTGCTATGTTGTACTGTGTTTGGTGTGTGACTTTTGTGATTTCAGCATTTTACTTGGCCAATGTACTCAGCATCTTTTGCTGTTTGGCCTGGTTAGCAATCTATCAGCATTGTAGCTGGCTGCTAAAATACAGAAATAAATTGGTTTGCTTTTCATAGGTCACACACTACTGCTACTATGCTGAGTTTTGAATCTTCACCTTTTGAGATGTTAACTTCAACAATACATAAGAAAATGCGAACAGCGGCTACATTATTATTTGTAAATTATATTTTTCTTCAAGTACATCAAGCTTATGAGTGATGTGTTTGCAATGCCACTAAAGTAGAGAAAAGTTGATACTTTCATATTGGGTGAAGATCATGAGAACATACTAAGTGTCACTTAAGCTGCTGGTACACTTGATACTTCAGTTAACATAATCGTTTATGGAGGGACATCAGATTTGCAATGTAAATGCTTTGTAGTACAGAACTTAAACATTGCTGAAGAAAGTTAGAAGTAGAAACTTTCTGTCTTGTACTCATCAGAACTCGGAGGCAAGAAATGTTTCCTTTTAAAAGGTGCAATGTAAATTCCTTTTGCATGTGTAAAACTGGGTTCTGAGTATTTATGTATGGAGCTTCTAGCACGCGCAAATGGATCATAGTATGAATCTAGCTGATGATTTTAAATTGGTTTCTAGTCTGTCTCTTGGCACAGCACAAGTTATTTAATAGATGATGTCCAATAACAGAATCATGACTAATGGTGGATATTTTCTGAGGTTTCAAGCACATGTTTGAGGTTTAGCAGCATGCTGCCAATTGTGATGGCTAGTGGGACATGTTTGATGCAGTCTGCTAGTCATTGGGTGTACCTGGCATCACACTGGCATTGAAACTCCTATCATACTACTGTTTTGTGTGGTATGCAAGACATTGGCTTGATGACGGCATCCCTATTAGTGGAGAAAGTCACTCAGATTTACTGTGTGTAGTTGTGTGAGACAGCTAGCTCCACCTGTCCAAATTTTTTGGTAGTGTTCACAACTTCGTCATCCAATCTGATACTCATTTAAGCATCCTACCCAGTTTACAGCATAAGAATGGTTACTTCAACTCTTGTAATCTTTATACCCACCTAAGCCTGCCTGATACTTAAACT